AGCTGTCACACCACTTTACCGTCTAGTCTTGTTGTGGAGGCAGCACTACTATAAAACTGTTATCATAATAACACGTTCGCGCAGAGTAAATGGAAAGAAGTTTTATCGCATTCGTTAGGTTGACCGTAAAAGACAATTGTGACGTGCAGTTATTCCGATTCAACATAAATAGTTCACATCAAAGTCTATTAGGCGCAAAAGTCAAAAAGTTAACATGTACGGCGGATTCAAAGAAAGATTGCACTGCACCACGTCTTTTGAATTGAACTGCAAAACTTTTACGCATAACATCCTAAGTAACGAATGTAAAAATACGGCACCGTCATTTCACGCGCTAGGCTTTCGTGGTTGGGTGACGTGTTGCGCATGCCAGCCCACCGGCTTCCAACGACGTGCGTTATTTGTTCACCGGGGATGTGGATGGAAGAAGAGAGGCGGTCAAGCGATGATTTACTCCAGAGGAATGAAGGCCCTCACTTCGCAGCTGGCCTCGGTTAGAGCGTCACGGCTCCCTGGTGAACACGTCTGGCTGGATACACTTACTGACATGGCAAGGGATCGACCTCAGTGGCGTTCCTGCTGTGAGTTTCCTTGTCCCTCCCCATCCCTTTTAGTCTCCCTTCCACCTACGTAGCGAAAAACAATAATTTTTCATTTTGCCTAGTATCCGGCTGGTAGCTTACCGGAACGATGCCTATCAGTTGCTGGTAGCTCAGCTGCCATGCAACTGTTGTTTTTATTTTCCTTTTCCTTTATGTATTGCGTCACAATAGCTGAGGTGTTTCCCACCTTTGGCTGATGTGTATAATAATAATGATGATGCAAAATACGACAAATAGTTACTTACACCACACTTCGATAAAGTATAGACTTTTGTTGGGTCTATTAATGCCTCCGTAGGCGAAGCTTGGGAACGATCAAGTCATTGGTACCGAGCACTAAATCCCTTCTGTGGCCCAAGAGTAGCATATGTATCGTGGAAGCCTGCTTCGTTTACGCCTGACCCAGAGGTATTACAGAGTGGAAGAAAAACAACATGAACGCGTTATCAGTATCTGTTTAGTAACAGTGTTTAAACGTCGCAGTTGGCTTTAAAACAAGCAGCTACGCATCATCTAGCTAACTACAACAAGCCTAAAAACCTAATGGTTATTAAGAGACAATAAGCCGGTTTCGTGGTCGGAGGACTGCGCGGTTATTTTAGGAGAAAGAGAAATAAGAGCGAAGAATTTCTGATGGCATAGCGCAACGGAATCTCACTTTAAATAAATTTCTGATGCTCTGGGCACCGCAGAGGATAATCAACGGTGCCCTGTCTGCTGCGTCGGGCAGGGTGGATAGGGTTTGGATGCTACTGCTCAAGCCTTCCCGTCTTCTTATTCCCCATCTTGCGCTTTTTCACTCTTATCGCCGCGTTCAAGCTTCACTTTTATCCCCCTTGTTTCCAACCCCCAATTCTCGGCCCCCCCCACCTTGCTTCAATAGTCGCTTGTCTTCTAGTTTCAACTCACATGTAAACGAGGAGCGTCATTCCTGCCCTGCCAACAGGCCCATGTCCAACCAAGCGGAACATTCAAGTTCATCGACTTCCCTTTGGAGCCCTCGATCCTCCTTCAGATTGGCATGCATCAATGTTCGCACATTGCTTCAGATCGGTCAACAGACAGCACTTGCCCGAAAATTAGAGACCCTCTCGATCGATATCTGCTGCTTATCGGAGACGGGCCTGCAAGACTCGAGCTCTGTACTCACTCTGCAATGCCCTTCACGTGACACTAAAAGCACTTTATTGTTGCGCCTATGCGGTATCGCTGCAGCTTCAAGCACGGGCCAAGCCGGTGTTGGCATTGCCCTGAATCCCCGGTCTGAAGCTACTCTGGTTGATTGGATTCCAATCAGTAGCCGGATGCGTGCGGTCCGATTGGCTGCCTCGTTCAAAGCTTCGAAGCAGCGCGGCACTAACAGGTGTCTATTCGTTATCGCTGCCTATGCACCTACAAACTCTAGCGATGATTCGGTAAAAGACGACTTCTATCGCCAATTGAACGAGCTCCTTCGCCACAGCAGGAGTTCAGACATTGGAGTGCTGGCTGGGGATCTGAACGCTCAAGTTGGAAAATTATCCACAGATGAACTGCATCTGGGCGGCAAACATGGTGTAGACTCCCGTAATGATAACGGTGAGCGGTTACTACATTTGTGTGAGGATGCTTGCTTATTTCTTGCAAGCAATAATTTTAGACACCGTACCCGCTGGGGTGTGACTTGGCGCCCACCAGCCTCGAGCAAGCTATGGACACAAGTCGAGTACATTGCGATAAGTAGCCGATGGTGAGGCTGCGTCCAGAACTGTCACTCGATTTGGAGCACAGGTGTGGACACCGACCATGCACTTGTATGTGCTGACCTGCGGATGCGTTTTGGCGGACGCCCACGACGACGCTGTGAGCGCATTGGCACCAGCCAACTGGCGAGGCCAACTATTCTGGATGCCTAGCAAAGTACGCTAGCATGCGAGTTGAATAAACGCTCACTGGATGCAACTAAAGGTCACTTGTTTCATATTCATTAGTCCTTACTAGCAGCAGCCAAATCCTCATGTGGTATGTCTAATCGCCAACATGTACATTGGGTATCTTCGCAGTCTCTGCAATTTATCGATGCTCACCGGCATATTCCGGCTGAAAGCAAACACAATGCAACTCGCAAAGATCTCTGAGAAAAACTCCGTGCTAGCCTGAAGAGAGACCGCGAATCCTGGTGGTCTCATAGTGCATTAGAGTTGGAAATGGCCGCTGCCCTTGGTAACCATCGTAAGTTATTCCGGCTGATACGAGGAACGGGCAGCAGGAGACCTGGTGTTAGTGAAACTATACGTGACGAGAGTGGACAGCCTATCCCCAACTTATCAAAACGCTTGGAGCGTTTGGCTGAGCACTTTGAAAGGCAATTTAATCAGTCGGGAATGGTTAGATTTCTCGCCGGCCACTGATCGCCCCGCTCCCTGGGCTGTACCTTTGTATCCACCCTGTCACTCAGAAGTCGAACGTGAGATCAAACTGTTGACGTTAGATAAAGCCGCGGGACGAAATAATCTACCTCTAGCCATCTTCTGCTATTGTGGATGATTTACACGAGTTACTAGTCAAACAGTGGGAGCAGAAAACTGTCCCAACCGATTGGAGCCGCCGCGTCATAGTCCCAATTTTCAAGGGAGGCTCACGATCTGAATGCGGCAACCATAGAGGAAGCAGTCTGATCTCCATCGCCACCAAATTGTTTGCCTCTGTCATCCTTCACAGACTGACTGGCACTCGTGAATGCCGTATTCGTGAAGAGCAAGCTGGATTTCGTCGAGGTCGTTGCTGCATTGACCACATCTTTACATTGCGTCAGTCGTTGGAGCACCATCGCATATATTGTCGTGTTCCTTGATATCAAAGTTGCATTCGATTTGGTGGATAGACATGCACCTTGGGAATATTTGCTCAAGAAATGTGTACCTGATAAATATGTGAATATTATCCTGGCATTATATGCGCGTCGCTCAGGCAGAGTGAGGTCTTACGGCCAGCCGTCGTCGCGCTTTAATATCGCCAGCGGTGCGAGACAAGTATGTCCGCTGTCACCTTTTCTCTTTAACTTCGCTGTTGACGAAGTCATGGAAATCGCGTTCACAGGACACGACTTAGAAGGTGTGAAGCTACTTCCAGGTATTCGACTTCTTGACTTAGAGTATGCTGATGATATTTCCCTAATCTGTGACAGCTCACAAACGTGCCAAGCGGCACTGGACAGATTAGCACTCGCTGTCAGCTGCTTTGCTCATTGCTTTGCACTATCGAAGCGCAAAGCGTTCCTCCAAGTTTAGCCTGGACCGCCTCCTACGCTGACCCTTGGTGGAGATCAGCTAGAAGTCGTTCAAAACTTCAACCACCTGGGAAGTTGTATCAGCGCCCGTGGGATTGAAGATGAGATCACGAATCGTATAGCGAACGCTCGAGGCGCTTTTGCTAACCTTCGTCACTTACGGCGCCGGCGCGACATCACTCTTGCCCTGAAGGGTGGAGTGTACAATTCAGTAGTACGTTCGACCCTGGCCGCTTAAAGCAGCGAACCTGAAGAGGCCAGTTACGTTCGACCCCTAGTGCTTCCAAAATTTAGCTCACACCTGGTGGGAACACCACGTGAACAATGAGCGTGTTCGACGCCTTGTTTACGGTAAAGGAAAAGAACCGCTCAGCACTGTTATTTCACGCATCAGGCTCCGATGGCTCGGCCACGTGTTACGCATGCCAGCCCACCGACTTCCGCTACGTGCGTTTGCGCGCCGGGTGTGTGGATGGAAGAAGAGGAGGGATGGCTAAGCGATGACATGGTCGAGAGGAATGAAGGCCCTCACTTCTGAGCTAACCTCGGTTGGAACTTCTCGGCTCCCTGGTTGGGGTCCGAAAGACGATAAACACGCTTGGTTGGACACACATGCTGATATGGCTAGCAGCCGAATTCAGTGGCGTTCCCGCTGTGATTTTATTTGTCCCGCCCCATCCCTCTTAGCCTCCCCCTCTAACCACGTTCTCAGTATTTAGCGTTATATAATTTTGCAGAGTAATTTTTTGATGCCCAGTAGCCGGCTGGTAGCTTACCGGAAGGATGCCCATCCGTTACCGGTAGCTCAGCCGGCCTGCAACAGTGGCATTTTTTCTCCTTTTTTCTATTGCGGCACAGTAGCTGAGGTGTTCCCCACCTCTAGCTAACGTGTATGATAATGATAACGGTAAACCAGATGTAACCTAAAAGCTTTGCTCGCCGACAATTTAATAGGATACAACTAACTACGAAAGATAATTGATTACAATCTTGGATAAATTAGAGAAGATAAGGAAATGATAAAGAGGAAGGAATAATGCAGATAGAATTATGCATAATTATACGCAAATGCGATGTTTGGCTGGCCAACAAGTGTAGAAATGAAGAAGCAAATAGTTATTGAAACGTACACTGTAATAAGCGCATCCACAGCATCTTGTCGGTTGTTTGATTAAACCATATTCCTTCATATTTTTGGCAAGGAAACTTTGCATAAATTCCGTTCTGATGGCAGATTCTTGGTCCCCCATTACATGAAACATCTGCATAATTTATGCTCTACTGTGGTACTTTTGGCATACTTTCGTTGAAACGCTGTTGAAAATTGATTCCAGAAGTGATACCAAACTTGATAGTTTGGCTTTGCTATCCAGTGTGCTGATACGCAACAATCCCCCAAGCTGTAAAATACCATTGACTCGCTTGGTTGAAATCCGCATCAACAGCTTAGAAAGATGAGCAGTCGTTTCAACAGTTCCGTGCTCAAAGTTATCAGCTTCCGAACTACATTGAATATCACTGAAAATCCCCAGCGCGCAAAATGGAGTGGCTCTACCACAAGGTGTACGTTTGGATTGATCTGATAACGAAGAGTTATGCTTATAGTGTCCAGGGCATGGAAAATCTTGTACGAATTCCTTTACCGGACACAATGGTAATACCCCAGAATGTATCCTGAACTGTAATCGGATAACTCGATGGCCGATCAAATTACCGTTTCCATGTTGGTCGATTACTTAAAAAAGTTTTGAAACTGAAACTTGACCTCAGGTTGAGGGTGACCTTGACGCAGTGAAGCAATGTTGTCACTACCACTTATGAGAGTTTAGTAAAATGTCGTGCGAAATTGTATGTAAACGAACATATGCCACATAATTCGTTCTACGTCGTTTTTATCCGGTATTGATTTAATGGAGCAGCCGAATGGGTTCCTCGAACAATCTTGTCAAGTCAGATTCCAAAGACAACACAGGCTTTCGCCTAAGGAGCTTCTTGTTGCTTGCAACGGTAAGCATACAACAGCTCCCTATGCTTCAACGTCTCATTACTTTCTGCGGTCTCTGCTAGATTGAAGTAAAAACAAAGCGTTCGCTATACTCGCATGTAGTACGAGGTTAAAGTGAAATGAGCCAATACAATTACCATAAAACCGGAAACGTTCAGACCAAAACCTATCTAGGCCTCTTTAACAGGACTCTGCGGTGCTGACGGTAATTTATTCCAGCTATTGACTACCCGATTCATGAACAATTTCGCCCGATAGCCAGCCTAGCTTTCTGATGCTTGAGCTTTAATTGGTATCCTCGCAGGTGACCTGCACGTGCTAACACAAACAGTTCAGCAGACTGGACACCACTGAACCCTTCAAGAGTTATAACGCTTCTATCAGGTCCCCTCTAAAAATTTCTTGGCCATTTTCTGATGCTACTTAATTTTAATCCTGTATTATGCATGATTTGTTAACCAGCTGAGTCTAATCTTGCTGCTTTACACGGTTCAGCTGGTGTGCAAGTTTCTACATTACTGCGTCTCTTTATCTATGCGTCGCCGCGGATTTATCCCAAAAGCCTCAGCAACCCAAAAAATATTTCTTATCTTATGTACACATTTGTTACTCAATCGTACATTATTGGTTTTTGTTTTAACGTCGACCCTACGGCCGCTTTTACTTAAGTCCTGCTCAGTACTTGTGGCCACGGTGGGCGCCGTTTGATTGCACTATGAGGAAAATGTGTTGTTTGAGGACGTTCCGCGGTACAAATGGTACATAGCAACGAGGTTACCTAGCGACGTTGCCAAGGAGAAGTGTGCAAATGGCTGGAAATAGCTGGAAAGTATGGAGGAAATTGGATTGTGTGTGAATTGTGATACCATAAATATGTGTACGCGTAAGTGTGCATATAAATGATGTTTGTTTTATTATTTCGGTAGCCATACTTGTTTTTTCTGCTACCGCTATGCTTGTGGATGGTAGTGAGCTGTTCAGGCCTTTGGCTATGGGGAAGTATGACACTGTGGAGGACATTGAGGAGCATTTGGGACGTTTTCAGCTTGAAGCAGCGACTTGTTTTTCCCGAGTTTCTTCCCTGTCCGCTGCGGGGTACAAGCGTGGCAGGCGGAAGCAGTTGCCGGATGCGGGTGGCTACGGTTACATACTGTACCGTTGCGTTCATTGTCAACGTTCTGGGTCTCGTGGCAAGCGGTGCGCTACTAGTTACGCATCATGTAAAATAATGCATGTAGATACAAATCGTACGATTGCAAAACGCGGTTCTCGGTGGTTGTGAAGGTGGGTATATATGTCGTGGGAAGTTTCTTTATGATCCATAGTCATGATTTCCACCTGATTATCCCCTGGCTGTATGCACGGAACCATCGGCTGTCGTCGTGACAGGAGAAGGACAGTTTCCACAGCACGCCGGATTTGAGGCGCTTCATCTATCAGGAATACGGCAGGCGTGCAATCAGCATGGACCTGAGTAACCTGCGTATCCGTCATCAAAATAGAACCTCATGTGAAGTCACGGAGGTGGCAACGTTGTTGGAAGGTCAGGGTGTGTTATGGGGACCCAACGTCCCTATAAATATTAAAGGCTGAAATTACGGAAGGCTGAAAACCCGATTCACTCAAGTGCACATGTACTCAGAGCAGACAAAAAGCACACGTTCAATCAGCCTTCTAACTCGTGTAACATGCACATTGTTTAGCCTTTGCACCCAGAAACAGTCTTGTTTCCAACAAAACACGCATTGTTGTATCCAAGCAACATTCATTTTTCCGGACAACTCTCGTCAAACTTCCAACATTTCTGCTCAGTTTACGGACTTTGCACATTTACATAAGACCATGTATCTTGTTTCCAGGGTTTGCTTACGCAAACCCTTCCAAGAAAAAACCCCCTTCATCACCGTTTCGTGATATAAAAATGAGGCTGTACAACTCTAGAATCGCCTTAGCTATGGCCAGTAAAAGCGCCTGTGGCAAAGGTCTGTCTTGTTCTTGCTTCAGTCTTGGGTTGGGAAATCGTGCGTAGAAACTTTGCGTTCGGTCTAGGAACCTGTTCGACTCGCGTGAATTAATCTTTCGAGGCTAAGTTCCGAGAACCCACAGACTTCGAGATTGTCAGTTACCGTGCCGTGCGAGAAATAATTCTGAGTCTCGTTCGTTCATCCGTCTAGGAGAGTTGGTATCACATTATTAGAACCTGACGTATTCAAAACGCAGTATTCAACAGTGGCGACGATGTATTTGAACCCATGGCAGTTGCATATAATGAGTTTAAATTACTTTTGGAGCACCAGATTGCTTTAATGACCGCCTTAACGGAAAAACTCTCCAGTTCTTCCCTTCAATCCGGTTCCAAGGGCAACACTCCTTCGGTTGACAATATCTGCAACAGCATCTCCGAATTCTTGTATGACCCTGGCGCTCAAATTACCTTCGAGTCCTGGTATAAGCGGTACGAGGATCTGTTCACCGTTGACCTGGCTTCCCAGGCTGACGCGTGAAAGGTCCGGCTGCTTTTGCGCAAACTGAGCACGGTCGAGCACCAACGTTATACCCACTTCATCTTGCCAAAGAAGCCATGAGATGTTCCCTTTGGTGAAACGGTCCGCTCGTTGTCGCAGATTTTTGGTGAACAGTCCTCACTGTTCAACAAACGGTATCAATGTCTGCAGATGGCCAAACGAGATGCCGATGATTTCGTCACATACGCGGGCATCATCAATCGGGAATGCGAACGGTTCCAGCTTGGCTCCCTCAAAGAAGACCAGTTCAAGTGTTTGCTTTTCATTTCTGGTCTCCGGTCCGCCCATGATGCAGACATCCGAACGCGCCTTCTATCCAAGCTGCAGAAAGACAGCACGATCACACTCCATAACCTGGCTGAGGAGCGTCCATCGCTGATCAACCTGAAACACGATTCCGCGATGATCCAGAACGCTTCTGCGCCTGGTAGGGTCCATGTGGTCGCAGCCTCAAGCCGCAACCTTCTGAGTGGATCTCCCAACTCAACCGAGCGAAGCACCCACTCTATCCGTGCCGATTCTGTGGTGCAGGCCATTTCCACCGAGATTGCAACTTCCGACAGCATCGATGCCAACGTTGTGGCATTGTGGGGCACCGTGATGGATACTGCTATCCTACGTCGCACAAGGGGGCAAAACCTGGGCTGGCCCCCACCCACAGTCAAAAGAAGAGGTCACGATCCAGACGCAAACCCAATACTGGCCCGGCTGGCAGCTCCATGAGCTTGCTGGCCACATTCCGAGTCAAGGCGGATCGCAAGAAGTTCGTCGACGTCCAGATTAATGGCCGGACCGTCCGCTTGCGGTTGGACACTGCTTCGGACATCACGATCATCTCCGAGAAAATCTGGCGGTCCCTTGGTAGTCCATCAGTCCAGCCAACCCTTCAATCCGCCACCAGTGCCTGTGGTGGCCACGTGCAGCTAACTGGGCAGCTGCATTGTTCCGTCTACTTTCGAGGTGTCACATTCGACGGGATCTGCTACATCGCCAAGGCAAACCTCAATCTACTTGGTCTCGATTGGCTCGAACAGCTTGGCATGGCCGATCTACCTCTCCGAATCATCTGCAGCGCGGTACAATCTCTGGCGGTACCAAATGACGAAACCGATGACCTCATCCGACAGTTCTCCTCAGTGTTCCAAGGTGGTCTTGGCCGCTGTTCACGCACCCGCGCCGTGTTACAGCTTGCTCCCGGAGCTCAACCGGCATTCCGTCGTAAATGGCCGGTCCCATACCGTCCCATATATGTATGTATATGTATGAATAGTTGCATATTTGTATATAAATATAAATAATTATATATGGCTTACAAATATACGTACACATATGCATAAATGTACATATATATGGATATATAATTATGCGGACCTACTTATGCACATTTCCTTACGGTACATCGTATTGCATAAAAGCATGCACAGATTCTTTTAAATATATATATATATATATATATATATATATATATATATATATATATATATATATATATATATATATATATATATATATATATATTAGAATCGGGCATGCACTTACACCTTTTGATATCTAGTTAACATGTGTAGCTTGGCACAAGAAGACGTTCCAAAGTATTGATACGTGCTTAGCACTTCGCAACAAACTATGCCCACCAGCGCAGCTTTTACACTTGTAGATATTCCCGTACACTGACACCAATAACTACTGCTAATCAGTCTGCAGTGACAAATTAACAAACGTGGATTCCCGGGCTTTGCTGTCGTTATGTCTGATAGGGTGTACGTAATCCTTAGCGGGTTACGTTGCACGCGTGGAGATCACCTAACCCATAATGTCGCATTACTGGAGTCATGATGATATAGTCCTACGCATTGACGCTTGTGTATAGACTACCCCGAAATGCCTGGAGAAATGTTATCCTGTCATGAGTATTAACCCTGCGGAGGTGGTGGAATATGGATTTCATGAAAGAAGGACAGTCGTACTCCAATACGGTTGTAGATCTCACGTACAAACGGAACGAAGCACTACCGATGCCGTAGGTTAATGAACATATGACCGTCCACTGAGCCATAGATGTAAATCTTCTGAAGTGTGATCATCAGCAATAGGTAGGGACAGGTATGGTGATATATGAGGTAATGCCTTCGCTGGAGTCACCAAATGGAATGCTGCGGAAATGGCGAATGACGAGATCACAGGAAGAATACATCTAGTAAATGCTGCTGCATTCTGTTCTACAATTAGCGTTGGAAACAGCGCAACAACAGGTT